CTAACCAAATTCTGAAACTCGACGTACCTATTCTGTCAATGTCTTGTTTCTGTGAGCTTTATTTTTATCGACAATTTCGATTCATCGCCATTTGGAACATGCTAAGAACATAAGTAGCTCATCTCTTCTAGTTGCAGAATATTCTCGTTCACAGCTTTCGATCGTAGCTAACCGAATTCTGAAACTCACGTAACAGTTTTGTCGATGTCGATTTCTCTGACTTTATTTTTATCGATATTTAGAATATACGAAGAACGCAAGTAGCTCATATCTCTTCTAGTCTCATAATATTCTCGTTCACAACTTTCGAATTCTCGAACTCGACATATAAATAAAAAAGAGGACATGATGAATATGAACGATATTATGGCTTACCTAAGAGATTACCGCCGCCCTAGAGCACCCGTAATACCAAGGGAATTGCAAGTGCGTTGCCGGCCTTTTAAAAAGGAATAAGCTCTTTTCTTGAAGATTTCAATATCGTACCGGTTCGGAAATACCATTGCTGGAAGGTGATTCCACAATGTGGTTGTACGTGGCAAAAAGTTTATAGCAAAACCGCACTGTGGAGGACCGCTATTCATTCAGATGATCAGGATCAATACTGTTAGTGTTGATTCCTTTGAACTTTATTTTTATTCACATTTGGAAAATACGAAGACTGTAAGTAGCTCATATTTCTTCTCATAATATTCTCGTTCACAACTTTCGATCATAGCTAACGGAATTCTCAAATGCAATGTACCGATTCTGATACTGATTCCTCTACTACTACTCTACTCTATTTATATCGTCATTTTTAATATACGGCGAACGTAAGTAGCTCATATGTCTTTTGTAGTTTCACAACATTCATTCTCGTTTTGGAATTCTCAAGCGTCACATATCGATGTTGCTTTTTTAAATTTTAGTTATCCATATATTTTAATGAACGGAAAACATAAGTAGCTCATGTGTTCTAAACTCACGATATTCTCGTTCACAATTATCGATCGTGGCTAACCGAATTCTCAAACTCGACGATCGACTCTGTCAATGTTGATTCGTCTCAACTTTATTTTTATCGTCATTTTTGAACGTACAGAGAATACGTGCGGAACGCTGAGGCGTTTCTGAACTACGTGATGCGGTTTTAATTCGTAGATGGAGTTGTTTTTACGAAATTGCCACTTTCCGGAAATAAGGAAGGCGTTCCTAAACGGAGAGATAAATAAGTAACAAATCAAGCGCAATCAATTGGAGAGGGACGGCGACTGGATTACCTAACGAAATAATTGAACATCGTACGGATAAAAAAACAGTATTAGTTTTATATTTTCAAGTCCGTGTTTTATTTAAACATCAAGTTGCAAACAAGAAATAAAAACATTTTTTTTTTATAATATATGGTATTTACGTAAAACCGTGATTGTTTTCGATTTTCGATTTCATTTCACTTTTTTTAATATATATTATTTGCGCATCCTCACTATAATCAATCAAGAGTTATTTTTTTATAACATCTTTAAATTTCAAACAAAGCAATAACTATGCCAATTATCAACGGAGATTTGTTACTAATTTATATTGAACATAAATATTAGTAATCTTTTCTTACTCTACCAAGAAAAGTTAACATATTTGATTTATTCGTATTTAACAATGAACTTTAAAGGTTATACAGGTTGTACAAGTTATTATTTGTAACCGAAGTTTCGTTATTTTTACAACTGAATTTTGTAGGTGCCATTTGGTAAATATTACTTAATTAAAGTCTTGGTAGTATAGTGATATAGCACACCTTCTTACTTCCGATTGTTGCGGGTTCAATTCCTCGCACGGCACAAACATTTGTATTCATGAGTATGACTGTTTGTATATTTACGAAAAAAATCTATTATTTGTACGAGTTGTTTACTACCCATAATACATGCATTAGTTAGGTTTACTTGGGTCTAGATGGCGCTGTAAAATGTAAAATATGAAATGTGAATTGACCTGAGATTATTATTATTATTAATTTACAACTTATACAATTCACTACTAATTTACTAATGTTAAAGAAAACCCTTCGATGGTAGCTTTTATGTAAATATTTACTAAAACAATTTACACTAGTTTGCACAATAACAATAAACGATATCCAAAACAAACAAATCATCGACAATTAATACAAAATACTAAATTAGTTGTGGCCAATCACATTTTGTGTTTTATTTACTTAGATCTAACCATTGGATGGTTATTTTAATCTGTTATCTGCACCGAACGCTATTTATACCAACATTCGAGGTGAATTGACTGTCATTTGTACTGGCCTTCACAACCTATAAATCAGACCCTTCTATAAATAATTAAACAATTTAACAACAGCTGGGCTGTTATTAATGTTACTCATGGCACCTTCAAATACATAATGTGCCTTATGAAGGGAAGACAGCTCTTTAGTCTTAAAAAAATCCTAACTTACTTATAATCTGCATATAATATGCGAAGCAAAAACTTTGTATCCTTTTTTAGGAAAATTGGGCGGACAGTGAAGTACGAAATTTCGCACACTTATGGTTTATATAAAGAAGAATATTTTTTTATGCATAAAAAGACATTATTATAATAAAAAAATATTACACAGAGTACCATGTATTTCATACACGCATATGAACTCTTTTGTTTATTATTAAAGTCTATGGTCTAATTGAGATTAAGAATCTAATTGAGATAGATTAATATTGTTCGTCTTTAATATTATTTGTCTATAGTTTTACTGAATGATATAAACCTTATAAACTGAAACAAACTTTTATTGAATAATATTAAATAATATATTTTTAATATTAACGATATTCAATTATAATATCATTTAATAATATATTAAATTATGTACCGCATGATTCAATGTGTATTAAAAATAGAAATATATGTCATGTAACAAATGTATTTTAAAGAAAAACCAAGTTTGTTTTAGATTTATAAATAGATATTATTAATACTAAAGGTGAAGATGTCTTTAGAATAAATTCAAAATGAATGATAATAAATAATATAATAATAATAATGTATATAAATTTTCTCGTTAATTGACATTTATGAATAAAGGAGTCAAGCTTCTTAAAAATTTTGGAATCCGGTAAAATGTGTACCACTTACAAATTATTGTTTATAAATTACCTTCCACATATATATATTATATTACCTTCACCTGGATCCGACACAAACACAAACACTTTAATAAACATTGAAATATATATTTCATAAAGTCCAGTTTAACAGAAGATTATTTAACAAATTATGAATAAAATATTTCCCCGATAGTTTATAAATTTATTAATTATTTTATAAATAACATTACAGACAGACAGTGCAATTTTATTTATTTGTATAGATTAGATACACCGAGTGTTTTGTATTCGATGTAGCTTTAGGATGTACAAATACGGGAAAAATTTATTTTTCCAAAATATATGCAATACTACTTTCTTTAAACTTTGGTATACCTATTAAACTGGTAATATGAAATAGTCAAAATCCAGAGAGAACATATATATTTAGTAAATATTTTATTCCTGTAGACTTAGGAGAATAAATATATTATACATGTATATTAATTAAAACTAATTATAATATCTATGATCTCTCTGAACATAAAATTATCTGTGACATTCTGAATACTTGTCTGTTATAGCTCAGCATTATAAAATCCGTTTTAAATCTTATTTACCTGCATGGGTTTTAGATTTAATATTATAATGATATATACAAACAGGAAAACTTTATTAGAAGAATTTCTATTAGAATCTCTAAATTTATATCTAAATTTATATATTTTTTTGTAATACACAAACTGTAAAAACATTAGTAATTCTCACAAAACATTTTTTATTTTTTCTCAAAAATAAATCTTACTGGACCACTCCCACGGTATCTCATACTAAACATTTTCACTTAAGGAAACACTAAGAATGTTTAATTATAATATACTTAATACAAGATCACTATTTTCACCTACTTTTATATTAATCTCTTCATAACTTTCAATTACTTTTAATATTTTAAACAAACTCTAATCTCTATGAAACCACAACAAAGCTAAGCTTAACTAAATATTTTATTTATTTCATATTATTTTTTTCGTGCTAACTTAATATATATATATTTCGCTGTAAAATTTTAGTTTTATAGCCGATGCTTGTCACAATCAAGTAATTCAAAATGTCAATTCAATATATATGTAAAATATATGATACCCATATATATACCGCTGTAATCCAATTATAAAGTACGTAATTTATTTTTATTACAAATTTAATTACAGTCACAAAATAAAACCCTTTTAGACATACTGTGTACGAATTTATTAAAAATATTGTACTATATAGGGTTAAAGTACGGATTACAGCGTGACATACGTGTACCATGAAGGGCTCAAACGACATTGTTCATTAATTTAAATGTCAATTATATACTGTTGGACATAAAGTGTAAAATAAGTATTCACTGTCTCATAAAACATTATTGTCTGGCAATTGTTATATGGACAAGTTACAAATAATTCCATTTTTAAATACATTTCAACCGAGTTTAAAGAATAAAGATTCTCAATTCAATCGTGAATTCTTTTATTATATATTCTACAGTATCAATATCAAGACCATTAGCGAAAAGATTTGAATAAACCATGTTTACTTTTATGTTTGTAAGTGAATAATTAATTGTAATTAGTGTTGCTAAATAACCAACATAATCACTATATATTTTACGCAATGCATTAAAAAGCTGATTCTGTTTCTGTTTCTGAATTACTATTACGTAATTACTACGGTATTAAGTTGGAACATATATAAAAATGGTTATATTTTTAACTTGACTCTAGTTGACACTCCAGCCTCGTACATACTACCAAATTTGATATCACTTCAGTATCGAACCTGCATATTTCTATACCGATTCGATATACCAAAGTCATAATGTGACCCTAATTTAAACACTTATAAGGTAAATATATAAATAATATAAGGACTCACCACGTCAATGATCTGCTGTAACGTGAGTCCAAACTTGACCTCGAGAGGCTCGCTCTCGTTCGCGACCGGCCGCTCGAGCGTGTTGTAGGACGCGAGCAGCGAATTCAGCAGTCGCTTCTCGTGCGGACCTTGCTCCGACACTACGAATAGAAAATTATAGTATAAGTTTTGATTACACAATACTAATAATAGCAGGTATAAAGAAATCAATTGAAAATAGACACTAAAACAAATACACCATATCTATGGGGTAGCCTAAATATCTCAAAGTGGACGTTCAAAACACTAATTATTAATTACTGAATTTTATGTTTTTGTGTATTATAGCCACACTTAACCACAAACTTAGAGTTTATAAATTGATATGTATTACTCATCATCATCATCATCATCATCATCATCATCATCATCATCATCACCTGCTTCTTCTTTATCCCATTTCTTTGGGGTCGTCGTAATATGTTTTTCTCTTCCATTCATAATATATATATATATATAAATAGGAAAACAACTAAACACTTCTAAAGTCATTTGAGTATAAATGTTTCAGTTATCAGTTTATTCTGTAAAAGGGGTTACTTAAACAAAATAGTTTAAGTATCCCATGGGTAGACAGACTAAATAACATTACATCTACGTAACGTAGATAACGTAAAAACTAATCCACTATTCAGGCCGTATGAAGAACAGAGAAAGGGCGGTCGTTGTTGAAAACAATAGAAATTTGCATTCGAACTCAACCTTCACAACTCTGTATAAAGTTAGCAAGACAAACACTGAATAATGTAAAAGTGCCAGACTTCCCGCTTCAACGAGACGAGATGAAACGAGAAAGGTGGGAACGAAACGCACCCCAGGTTAGTTTGTCGATACCATTAGCGATAAAAGCTTTTTACATTATTCATAATTAAGACGGCAAGCTGTTTGAAATGGTAATAACTGTCGTTTGAAACCGAGAATTAAACAGTTCTTATATAGGTACCTATAAATAGTGGAGTAGTTTTATTTCTTTTGGTTCCGTGGATAGCATTTATAAATCACTAACATTATTAACACGTTAAAAACCGCATTGAGAAATCTTATTTCTCACATAAGGACCGGCTTTTTTAATTGTTAATTACGAATATTATTTTGTAGTGTACAATAATTTGAGGTAAACATTATTTAACCCCTAGATTTATTTCAATTAAAGTGCCCACGGGTGATAACCCGGTCGCAACGTGTAAATTTACTTTCATTGCGAAGTGGCCCACCGGTGGGCATGCGGTATTTAACGTGTTAAAGACAACAAATACAATATATACATAATATATAGTAGTTTTTATTACAACATACACATTTATATTAATATAAAAAATGAAAAAAAATATAACTATAATTCATGGTTATCTAATTTAGGTCTTATACTATTATTTATATTACTATTAATCATAAGAGCTGAGCTGAGGTGTATGTGGATGATCAGGAAATATCATAAATACCCATTATTACCTGGTAATGAAGAATTGCTAAAATATGCGATCACTATATAATGTATACGTATCAACAATCACTAATCTGAACCAATACTTCACAATATACATCTTTTTAATCTCCACGATAATGTAAGTATTAGATGCACGTAAAGACCGAAATGCACTACACACGTAAAACAGAAATAATACAATAAATGTTTTCTTAACCCTACGTCCAGTTCAGAACTGACAGCACATTAAATACACTATCTATTATCGACATAAGGAGAACAAATGTACACTCAATATAAACACAATAATTATACCAGTTTACAACAAAATAGCAGGTCCCAGAGGGGACATCAAACACAATGTTAGGACCTCGGACCTCTCGGACCGGACTCTCGGACCGTTACAATTTTATAACTTCCCCTTGGGGCTCGTACCTAAGTTATAAGATCCCATGGCGCACGACCCCAAATAAAATAAAGAATTAATACAACAAAAAACTATTTACAGCAAATTGGGTAAATCCACATGGCTCTCTTCGAAAACTACGCATCTATCTCATGAATAACGACTGGATAATACCTTTATCCACACACCTGAACTACAATGGCCCCTAGATTTACAACCGATCTTAATACAAAGCCATAAAATCCATTTTGGTTCATGCTATTTGTCTAAAATTCACAAGAGTCCGGCACGAAGGACCAACAATAAACACTCATTTTAGGGGCTTAGATCGCACTCATGAATGTGATGTATTGAGGTTACAATGTGACGGATATTACGCAGGTGTACGTGGGATTAGAATGCTGGAAAGAGATAAAACACTACCGAGAATAGCTAAAGAAGGTTGATAATATTTTATAAGATTACAGAATTCTTGTGTCATCAATAGTGGAGAAGTACTTTGGGAGCATTACTTTAAGAATACTTTTTATAGCATTTTGTGTCTTTTATAAATCTTTTAATATCTCGATCCCGACAAGCCTCATCTTTATTCTAAATAATAACCACTTTCTGTTTTCCTAGACAGTACAATCAATTATCGATAATGTGTTAAACACAACACTTGACACGCCCATACTTTGCTCGGTATAGTTGAATAAAATATAACAGGAGACAAGTCTACCTCCGTCTTTGGATTAATTAGATTTGTTATGTGTCTATCACCGGAGGAAATATCTATCAAGCGAAAATATAAATTTACAAAAAATGGTATACGGCCAGATCTTTTGATCTAAGACGTGATAGTAAACCTATACTGCTGTAATAATGAAGCAATTGCGTAATTTAAAAAAAATGGTTGTTAAGCCCTTTTTGTTAAGACGCCAGTAACGACCTACTAAAGATCCTATAAAAAATCCAAACACATTTTATCGTTACACTAAAAGCATTAGATGAAATAGTGGAGGTAAATCCCCATCATTAAGGGTTTCGTGGTGCGGTCAGGTACTAGGGTTCCCACCTCTCACGGAATTCAGAGAATCTCCCGGTAAGATTGAGCCCTAAAAATTAAGCACTCCTGGCTTCCAGAAAACATTACAGACAGTGATGATATTAAGTCAAATCCACCGTCAGTTCAGGAGGTAGAAAATTAGTTCAAGCGATGAAGAACTGATAAGAAACTCTGACCTCATGTCATTGTACATCGTTATAAGACACAGTGACCATCATCATCATTGTTTGAATTTTCTTTATTTAATGGAGAATTACTATGTTTTAATAGTATGCTATTAACACATTAAATAAAGATAATTCAAACAGTAAACGTAATCCGAACAGTCCCTCAAGCAGCAACCTTTCACGAGTATGACGGATGTATTCGGCCGTTCGTTTTGTCCCGTATTTAGATAGAAGACTTAGATCCAAGACATGGCAACCCTATCCGGGACCTGTAGGTGCCCGCTTAATCTATGTAAGGATTAACGTGAGACCCCGGTGCGGTGCAAACTTCGTGCGGTTTCCTTCTGTGCGATTATTCAATGCGAACTGCTGAATTTCAGTTTCAGTACGGTCTCAATAACACAAATGTTTATTATAGGCATAAACCGCAGAATTCATTTGCATAAATCTACATAAATTTAATAGCAGAGATGAAATTGATTTAATACTCTCTTTAACGATCCGCTACCGAAATAATTATGTTTTTCTTTATTTGTTCGTTAAATAAACCGGCAAATGAGAGTCAGACGCGAGTACCAAGGTTTCCGAGTAATTATGTGGTATATATCTAAACTTACAAGAAATTGATAGTAATTATTATAAGTACATTATGTTTATAATTTCCGTATTTACTATATGTGGCTATTAATTGAAAGAAAAACATTTATTGACAACCATTATTGATATAAAAATACATTTACACATTTGACAAAGGTACATTTTACATATATATGTATAATTGGAACTTAATATCTGAGGATTTCTTTCCATTCTAACCGTTTAGGATCTATAAACCATAATACAATCATTAGCCTTAACTAATAACCACAATATTATCTAGACTAATATTATGAATAGGAAAAATTGTTTTCTATTTCTATTTGTACATAGTATACAACAAATTCGCCGTCGCTATCTGATCGCTTATATCTTTTAAGTTTCACAACGGAATTTATGCAGTTTTCAGCAATAGAAAGAGTGATTCAAGAGGAAGGTTTATATGTATAATACATGCATGTTAGATCAAGCCGATAATTTCAAGGATTTGCAATGCATCCGCGCGAAACCGGGTCGGCTTTCTAGTAGTTAATATAATAATAATAATCTCAGGTCAATTCACTCAGCGCCATCTAATCCCAAGTTAAGCTAGTTAAAGCTTGTGTTATAACTGATACAAGTACATAGATAATTTTTTTTCGTAAATACATACATATTATATACAGAAAATACCCAGACCGATACAAACAATCATACTCATGAATACAAAATGTTTGTGCCGTGCCAGGAATCGAACCCGCGACCATCAGACGTAAAGCGGTCTGCTAGACCGCTAGACCACAGAGATCGTCAAAATATAAATAACTATTTTGGAAAAGTTAACTATAGAAAATGTTATTCAAGTGTTATTTAAAAAAGAATCGTCAATTTGTGGTATTGTATAACAATAATATTAACCAATGTATGGTCAGCCATTTCGTAGACAAATTACTATTGGTAATCGTTTCCGTGCGCGACGTTTAAACCTTAATAAATCATGTTAAGTGATTCAATAACGGCGCCCTTCTATGACCCATGTTATTGAAACCCCTCGTTACATGCCTATAAGGGTTTTAAAGTATTATGCAGTAATTTATAGACAAAAATACAACTATGAATATATATTCCCGAGGCAAACCATAAATTTGTAGACCACTGTACCCAATTCAACAAGTTACCAAAGCCCTTTGAGAACAGGTTATGTTTCTTTCTTGTTTGACGCATGTATTCGTAAAGATATTAAAAAAAATTAATAAAATAAATTACAAACTAAACTAACTTTATAACTATTGTAGTATTTCTTTTTGTTTGTAATGGTTATATAAAAATATATAAACGGTTTCGTTGACAGTGACTTTGCTTATAGAAAACTTCTTTGTTAGCAAATTTCGTTGGCTGTATTTTAATTAAAAATATAATATAATTATAGTATTTTATTATATAACAATAATTGTTTAATTGTTAGTTTTTATATATTATTATTATTATTATTATATATTTGACATTATCATATGTTTTTAAAAATATACTAACTGCGTACTTAAATAATAATAAATATCTCTGGACAATTAACATAGCATCATCTAGTCCCACGGCAAGCATACTTGTGTTATAAGATAAAAGCAATTGTCGGAAACCGGCGGAATGAAATAATGTTATTATGCAAAGAATACCACAATGGGCACATTTGTTGAACTTATCAACCGATTCGGCGAATATACGCCGGCGTCGACAAGACTCTTTGTTTCCCTTTTAATATTCCCCTTTCTCTAATTTAAAATAAAAGAGAAATATTTTTACTTGCCCAAAATGTGTATTTCCAAGTATTCAGATGCATGCGGGCCAAGGTTGAGTAATTATTTTAATTTGCTTAAAATGTTTATGGTTTTCTGACGGAAATGAACATTAAGATAATTAACAAACTCACATGGTACTCATTGTTTATGTTTGCGATATTTAATCTAATATTAGACATATACACTCTCCAATAAGTAAATCAAGATAGTGATTAAAAAAAATAAGAAAGTTCTTATAACCAATTTTTCCAAAAATTTACGCTCGTCACCTAAACTGGTTAATAGGGTTAAAAAATAATATGAAAATTAACTCTAACTTTTTATTTTAATATTTGTTTTATTAGTTTTAGCTATAAAGTAGAAATTAAAGTTTTCTATGTTAATACAATTTACTATTAAGTGTGAGAATGACGTTCCATATCATTACAGAATTCCTACTTTCTGTAAACGAACATGAAATATTTATACAATGATATTGTATAATGTAACTATAAAACAATAGAAGCAAAATGTCATTTGCTATTCTATATTTGATTTCGTTCTTTTTGTTTACACTGGCGGAGCACCAGTGGTGAGCATGAGGTTAGGTCATCCCATCGTGATAGATTCACCAAGAATTTATCACGATGAACCAGTTTCCAGGAAGGAACGCATGGAGGTCAACCAAACTTGGTACTTTGCTAATGATGGTACAATAGAAACAATAGATTCAAATTCAAATTTAAAAATAATTTATTCATGTAGGAAATTTTAGCCGCTTATGAACGTCAAGTTTATTATATTATATTTTTGCCCTACCGTCCAGTCCAGTGTATAGATCCAATTGAGAGGAACTGGCAAACAACTCCATTGAATTACTTTTTTTTGAAAGCCAGTTTATTTACAATGTATATTTACATAGGTGTCTATGTCTAACATTAAATGAAAATTCCGTGCATGAGTAATTATTGCCATGCACGCTCGTCATTCAAGTAATCGTTTAGTAATAGGCTTTGCTCAATAAATATGATTTAACAGATGTTTTGAA